AGAACGCAAGCGTGCCACCCACTAAGCCACCGAGCAGCTGATCAGACCGTTTATATATATATCACTAATCGATGTCGTCAAGCCATTCCCGAAATCACGTAAACTATGAAGTTTAAAAAGGTATTGTCCAACTCTGAGAAACACCGCTGTACTTAGCAAACTGGAACGGAGAACAGCCACAGGCTCGGATGCGACGTTGACTGTTCGTACATAGCAGTCACAATCTTTGTTGTGATCCCTACCATTTCAATTTTAAGTGAAATCACTGTAACTTCTCTGTCACGGAGCATCGTGTGAAACCACTTTTTGGTGGTACACACATGGTTTAAGCACCAGCCGACCCAGAGTCCGAAGAAGACCACTGATTGTAACTAAATACAGAAGATCCGGGTAATCACTGTTTTTACTTTCTAATGAGGAAAACCGGCTCAAGTAACTTGGATTCGACATCACTTGTCTGGTGATCAAACGACTCTGTCTCTCTCTCTGACACGTCTTGATGCGAGGCATCTCCAAAGTTAGCTTTTCTGTTCACGATCTACAGGAAACTTTTGCGCAAACCTCACTTTCTGAGTAGCTGTCACGTTTTTATAAGCTAGACGGGAATCAGATAAGCTGTTCTTAGATGTTCATAGTCAGTAGTTGTAATCAACGATTCTGCCTGCGTAGTAACGCAAGTGTTTACTCGTCCTCCGTGTCAAGCGGGGTCGACGAGAGACAGAATGACCTTAGTACTGCCGTTCTTAGGTTGTGTATACGGGTTACTTAATGCAAATACCATAACCAAACAGTTGATCTTCGTTATATTGCTTTTTTTGTTCCGGATACTGTTTGGAAAAGCTGAATACCACCCACACGTCCATCGCCACACACCCGGATTTTCCTTTTTGCTCGTTGCTAGGTCAATAAGCATTCGGCATCGATTTTACTCAGATCACTTTTCGACCGGGTTGTAATTAATTCAGCATATCGATTCCACGAAACATGGTTTGGTGGATCATCTTATTGGCCTGTGTTTGTTTGCTCTTCATCAGGAAATACTGTTGGTCGGTTAATGCTCGTTGTCTAGACTAAGGCGTGTCTTCTGTACACAGCATCGAAGTTCTCAACGCGATGGAAGACTTCTTGGTTTTGCCGGTAGTTCGGGGCCGTCTTTGTCCGGATATCAAAACCGATTTTCGCTTTTATTTCTCATTCAGAATGTCTATATCTTACACTAGCTTGTCAAGCAACAGAGTCATTTTTTTTCGTGAGCAGCTTGTTGTTTTCTCGCCTTTGAGACCTTAGGCAATGGATTTGATAAAGATAGTCCAAGTTGATGCACAAAATACCAACATTGACAGCTTGACAGACCGAAGTCTCGGTCAGTTTGGAAAATTTAACTAGCTTCTATTCCATTGCGCCCGTTCGCCGAGCTTGGCAATTTTTTTGCAAACCTTTCATCACCAGCTGAGGTGACACCATCAGTGATTTCGCTTGGTCACTTCAAAAGCACTGATCACCTTTGACTTTGGTTGGTAATGAAACGTTTGCAAACAAATTGCCAAGTTCGGCAAACAGGCAAAATGGAATTCAATTCGCCGGGGCTGCATGAACCAATTTTCAATATTTTGCCAACAAGCATCTGTGGCGCTTACCGCGTTTAGTAGGCTTTAATCAGTGTTCAATAGCCATTGACGATCGTTTAGCCGTCATTAGATGTGTTTGAATGACGGTCAGTGACACTGGATAGATAAGAACACTCGTGCGTTACTGGCTGCGTCTCCATTTCGGTTATCGGGAAAGGCTACTTTAGCAAAACACCTCAAATATCCGTAAAGGGTCTCATTACGTTTGCGAATCTGTCCCACCACCAAATATGGCCATAATAATCCTGTTGACTCATGGTTTGCACTGGGCTGTGCAAGAGCTAGCTGTGCATCAGTGATATCTAAAAGCTCATGGATCAAAGCAAGCCAGTTGGTACTCAGTTTCCGACATTCTTGATGAAGCTAATGGAGCTGACTTATACTCATGTATGAGAATTACCTAAAATTGAAACTTATTCTGAGGCTCGGTTTTCCTATTTACACAGCCTCCTGTTCTGGTGTCCTATTAGTAAAACAGTTGGATATTTATGGATTTGCCTGATTTTTTTGTTATTGAATGCCTTCTAACTTTTTGACGCGTTTGTTCCTCTATTTTTAGCAACCATTCATGTGCTCTAATTACAGTGTTTAAAACTTTCAGAATATATTCATATATGGGATTACTACACTGGTTGGGCTACGAAGGTTATTGGATAAAATAAGCTCATTTCAACCGGTATATTGTCCTGCTCCTTGAGGCTTATTTCACCTATTTGTTATCCATCCTTTACCCAACGTTCTTTTGTGGCTCTGAAAAGCTGACGCATCCATCAGTAATCAGAGCCGGCAAGTAGCTCAACGGGCGGGCTAAAACAGATTGAAGGTAACCATGGCCTGAAAACTCTGAACAAGACAGCTCACGGTATGTGAAGATAATTATTCCTTGGTGGGTAGACAAAATCTACCTCGTAAATAAACGGTTTTCAAACAACTCTGTCCAATCAACTAGGGTGCATGTATCCCTGTCTTGCGTCTAATTCTATCGTATGTTAACTAAGCACCACGGGAACAATCGGTAACCACGGCCCCATTCGGTTGTACTAAGGCCAGAGGAGAGTTAAAAACGAAGTTTACTAACATCGTTTCCTGTACCAAACTGCACTCCAAACTTCGTGATGGTTACACAACCCGATCTATCCGCTCATAGGTTCCAACCAAAATCTTTCTTCCTTCTACGAGTTTCATGAATTTTGCTGCCAAAATTTACAAGGTTTTTAATCTCGGCTTGAAGTAATCACTTGAGATATCACTCTGTAATGGTTTCGGATGGGAATCGAATTTAAATTCTCACCAATTAAATCAAACTTGTGATCTAATCGAATCTGTCCACTACTGGATGAGAAAATATGCTGCCCCGCTTCCAAAGGGGCAATCGTATGTGATCTAATTCCAAACCAACCAAGAGAAGGCGTACGTACCACACACAACTTCCTGGTTGGGGCAGTGGTCACCGGCTCGATTGGGCATCTAGGTGTATTGGGTACGTTGGACGTTTGACCCCGTATGATCCGATGAACTGTACAACGGCCCCCAATGGATTGCAGTTGTCATACACCGCCCCACTGCCTAGCGGGCCAGGCTTTGGCTAGCTGAAGGTTGCGGTTGTGCATTCCTCGAGAAAATTCACCTGCTTTGGAGTGGGCAACCTGGCAGTATTGAGCCCACAAGCCAGTCATGGAGCGTTTTTCTTTTTCATAAAGATTGTTGTACCATGGTTTGCCTGGCACACTGTCCTCAGACAAGCGCGAAGTATAATAATATATCAAATGGGACCACTAACGAATGAGAAGAGAATAATTGAATAAATGAGACGAAACCATTGGCTTTAGACACGCAAATCAGTACCACTCCGACCTTGATGACACGAAAGTTTCTCTCACGTGCTTATTCCAATCCGCTGATTCTGTTTATGAACCATCAGTTTTCGTATTGTTTACCCCCCTCCGCCTACAGGCAACCAGCTCCAGTGGTGGATCGTCGCACTCGAGGTAATCAATACCAAGATGAGGCTGTTGTTGTCCCTGGACGATTTTACGGAAGTCGAGTAGATGAACAAGGTCGTTCACGGTTTGGTGAGTTGAGCTTCCGTTAGGAGTATAATTCGTTGATTTCTTTTTTTGTTCAGATTGGCAATAGTGTTCACATTATCTGTCTCGATTTAGTTTTTCTGGTGAGTTTGGTTAGTTTCAATGCGATTCCGACGACTGCGTCGAGTATGTCTTTAATTTTCGGGCAAATAATACAATTGAAAAAAGATTGATAAAGGAGTTCATCAAAAATATTGTCATATTACCTTATCCGTTATGACTATTGTGTGGCCAGGAGAAAAATGTAAAAGCTTTTCGCTCCTTCTGTTTGTTTGTCGACTACAACTAACGGTTCCTCTTCCCGCAGAAAGCATGTGTTATATTCTGAATACGAGGAGATGGCAATAGTCGGTAGTTGCTTGTGAGAGGGAAGACTGAGGGCCCGGAGATGTAAGTCTTTATTCGTCCAACAACTCTGGCATGTAGGCTGAAACGTATAAAAGATAAAAGTTATGAATAAAGCGATATGCAATAGACAAAGAGTGTGATGCACGACAGCATGTGTGTGATATAAGTGATTACAAACTTACAATTTCGGCTGTCTACGACTGGAGCACTTCATTGACGTACATTTATACCGGGGCAGTACCAATGGGGCTGAGTGAGTTTAGTTCAGCCCAACCGGGTCGGACTGCAATTCCATTACGAAACCCATCGGCAGATAAATGCAGACGGATAAGAAATTCGCATGAAAAAAATAAATGTATACAGGAACGTCACTGTTAGCGATATAGCTATTTGAGAAACAATTTATCAGGTTTTTATCAAGTCGCTGGCTTCTGTAATCACTGTTTGCCTGAAGTAAATTCAGGTTAGTTTGTGATATATAAAGTTATCCACACCCTCTGTTCTGTATTTTTTTCAGGCAAACGGGGATTATTATTGTACGTGACTGCATTGAATTTCACACTAGTATAGCCTAGACGATGTGCCGAACAAATCACCGGATAACACTTTTAACAATCTAGTTAACAAGAAATATACTTGATTTCGTTGAACGAAACACATTCTTCCCTTAAGTCTGGACAGTAGTGCAACGAAACCGACGCATTCACATTATATTTTATACTTTGTGCGTGAGGTCCCACTCAGTTGTTGAAACGGATCATTATGCACGGTTGCACATCACTTCGCTAAGATCATCTGTGAGAACGGTTAGCTGTTCCTTATGACTCTATTCCCACGTGACTTGATCTGAACGGGACTTAAAATGCTTTACTTGACTTTGCCTTTTACCTTGTTCCTATTTAATGAAAACCGGCCACTTTTCCATCGCCCTACAGTGCATCCACTGGATCCTTCAGAAACCCCTCGTAGCGGGGCGTACTTCCTGGTGAGTTCCAGACCGTACTTGGTCCCTGAGCAACCGTTTCGAGCAACCAATATTTCATGCCAATACTTGCGATAGCTTTTTTCTGTCGGTTCTTCGTAATCTTCCGCATTATGAATGTCAACAAAGAATAAAATGTTAAAGATTGTTATTGCAAATAGATAACTTAAGTGGTCAGTGTGGCAGGCCTTGTTTATTGGGACGTTTTTCTATAGAAGTTGCTTCCCACCCCGCTAGCACTCCCGTTCATGCACTGATTTAGTCACGGAGTGCTGAGTCCCCCTGGTCGCGCTTTTGGCTCTCTTTAGCCGGTTCGTGTAAATACCACGTGTGTTGTCTACACATATCGTAACATTTTATACTCCCAGTACCGCATTACTTTTCGCTACTGTTTCGGGGTTGAATAATCCTCGAGAACCCTCAGAATTGGCTCTGGACGTTGCGCCAAACCAAACTTTGGCTTAGCTGACTACGGATTTATGCAGCATCCCGGATACAACTATGCAGAAGTGTGAAGAACGGTGAGACCTAGCTCTTTTCGACCTTTTTAGTTCACATGACTGTGCAGCTACTGTCCTCTGCGTAAGCATTTTCGTAGGATTTGCTGCACCATCAGAGAAAACTTTTCCTTCCTGAAACATGGAGCCTCTAACCTGTTTTTTAGTTGGTGCTCGATCTGAGTGTACACTAGGGGGTATCCGGTGCAGCATTTCCTCACCACAGCACTTTTGTTATTCTCATATAGACGAAAAGTTCAGTTGTACTTGTCACTTGCTTTTGTAATGCGGGAGTTTTGTCTTTGGATCGGCCTTCCAGATGAACCACAACCGTAATTCGATTTCCATCAGGTTCCAGACCCTGCCTTTGGCAACAGACATGTTTGCCTTCATCGTGCTGAATGTGAAGCTCATATTGTTTAAGGCTTCACGTGGTCGACCTTAGATCATCAGTTCCTCGAACTTGGCACTTGATCTCTGTAAATACGTGGTTCACCACTTTTGGGCCCACAGTTGAGCGACGTGGTCAAATATCTCATACCAAAAAGTGTATCGAGATACTGTACTGCGACACAAGCTTAGGGTTAAAACAAAAAAGTAACCTGAAACTTGGGTACAGTCATGTGATACTACGGCCATACAATGTGAAACAGTGAAACAGTCGAATAACTAATGCTAAGGAAAGATATTGATGACTGGCTAAACCATGCACAGCTGCACACGAGGAACTAATGACTGAGTTTGACTAACCAAAGTTTACGGGTTCAGGATCAATTTGGTGGTGGAACTGTTATGCTCATAATAATGCGTCAGGAGCTGTCTTGGTCAGGAATGTGTGCTTGTGCGAACTAGGTCTAGTGCATAGACCAAACAGGTTCGGTCACCGAACGCATCAAACGATTGCAACCAATATGGGTGAACGGATACTCGTTGGATGGTTGGGACGAGTGGATGAGTCACAATCAGCGTTTCGCTCTTGGGGCTGAATAGAATCAAAAGCCGTTTCTGCTGTTCATCTTTCGAAGGGACAAGAAAATCTCTATCATCAAACAGTACCTCAATCGTGTTTATTAATTCAGTGAGCTCACTTCAGGCACATGTGATGAGCGGAATGTTAATTTTAGGGTGTTTCACGAAATTCCCAATAGTAGAATTGGTACACGGACGGAGATGATCGCAAATCAAGATCGAATACATTCCCCATCGGAATTTCAGATGTGATAACGGAATTTATGAAATAAAATCAACCTGTTTAACTAGACAGACTGCGCTAGTTTCTTGACGCTATTCTAAGATGAAAAGAGACTTTTTATTACAAACATTTGTATGATGAGCAAAAGACGGGACGAACTCCATAGTCACGAAGACCTGCTGCTCGTTCATGGGTACTGGTAACCTAAGCCTCGGGACTTGAAGTGGCGAGCCACATAATACTCCACTAGGTGACTTAAAAGATGCATCAAGGAGATTTTGCGAAAGAAATTGGTCCCGATTGTATTGCACAACTGTGTGAAGAAAGCTCGTGGTTCTGTGAACTAAATTTGCAATCATAAACACCTTAAGTATGTGTGACCTGTGAAAAATTCTTTATCCTCGNTGCTGGTAAATCTATGTTATAAAAAAGCATAGGCGGCGTCCATGCGTAGTTTCGAGTCCCACCGAGGCTACTGAACTCTTCACATTTAAAGCATAAGACCTTAATCTGCCAAACAGCAAAATTTGGCACCTTTCATGCATCCATTGTTCCTGCTGTATTCGATTTGAAAACACCTTTAAACTACGCTACACTATCTTCTGGGTCTTTCTTTATCCGAAACCTATGCGGTCAACTTTGTCCTGTATTCTGATTCTCGTTAGGATTGTGGTTTGTTATTCATTTTCAGCTGGGTTGCAGTCATGAAGAGCACTTGAGCTTTGTGTTGCGGAGTTTCGTAAATCAAAAACATTGTTATCCGGTGTTGGAATGTGAAGGTGATTTCCCTAGCCCTATTTGATAACCGTCGTAGCATTGTTTGGGACGTATAAGTTTGGTCAAGTCATAGTTTGACAACAGAAATATTTCATGGTTGCTGGTTGTGTTTGATTGGTATATTCTTCCCACTAATTTCCGCTAATAATCACCATCCTAATAACCATATTTTTGTAGCATGATGATCGTGAAGAACCGAACAACAACAACTCTGGCCGTCGTGATTGGGCTGCACGAGCAAAATATCGTTCAGGTTAGTTTCCACTGTGCAGTAGTTTGATTGGTGGTTGTACGATCCCGATAAGTACCCCCTGTCTGCATATAAGTCAGGTTCGCAATGTTCATTTCACTGACCTTGACCCTCGAGGACTAATGCTCGAATGAATGAATGCGTTGAGGTGATCGCACATAGCTCGTAAAGAACAATTTTATTATATCGTGCTTAAGCAAAACTACAGAGTGGGTAGTATGCTTGGGTTTCATTCGATGGGTAGGCTTTATTTGCTCATTATTTCTTAAAGATACCATCACGACGAGACTGCACCTTGACGCAGGCTTGCGCGACTCCATGACCATGCGAGCTATACAGGAGAGCTCCTCAAAGCAGCAGACCCAATGATGCACGAAAGGTCAATGAATAAAGGGCAGACGAGGCTCAGTCTCAAGTAGTACTGGAGATGAAGCAGTGGGTCGAAGCTCACCTTTATCTTCGGTACTGTTGTGATGCGAACATCACACCATGTGTTAACTAGCCGGCCTTCTGAGGGACAGGTATTACAGATGAGTGCAACATTTTGCACTAAGTGGCTCGCACATATTTTTTTCGAGCATCAGAATTAGCGAACAGTACACGAGTCGAAACCTAATTAATTACATTGCATGACAGGTCTCCAGAAGTTTCCATTTGGGTGCTTCGGCAACACACCCGCGTTGGAACTACGCCCCACTTATGTGTCCGAAGCTCCGGTTAATGTTCCCGAAGAAAGACCCATTTGATTTGTTAAAACGATCGACAGAAAATTTCAAGGCATAGTTCATGTGTCCGTTGTCGACACACGACGTCCACATACCTGTTACCTTTCGGCAAATACTGTCCCGTTCACATTAGCCCTCCATCTGAGATAGAGGTTACCCGGGGAAATCAGTTACCTCAAAAGGTGAACAGGTGAGCAGTCCCCATCGGTTTTTATAAATGGAGATTCAGTGATAGTTTGTGATTCAACAAAACTCGTGATTTCAGTGTCCGGGAAGAAATAGGTTCCAACAGACGTGTCAGTCAGTCATCGTACCGATTTACACGTCAGAGGAACCATTTCTATCTTCTTCGATCTGAAAGTGGCTTTCGACCCAGTCGACCGTTCTATACTCTGGTGCTGCCTCTAGCTGAAGGATGTGCCCGAGAAGTTCATTTCAACTTTGTGATCTCTTTATACCAACATTCGAAGCCGAGTCCGAGCTTACACTTCATTTTCTCCCGATTTCACTACAGAGAGTGATGTTCCTCAAAGTTTCTCTATCTCGCCGTTTTTGATCAACTGTGTTATAGATGTTATTCTTGAAACAGCCCTATCCTCGTGCGAGGATAGCTGCATTTATTTGCTTCCGTGTGATGGACCTTCTGATTTAGAATATGCAGACGACATCATGCTTCTAAAAGAAGACTCAGGTAAGTTGCGGGCTTTGCTCGATAGTTCTAGTGTAGCCATGTTCGTATGCGCTTTGCACCTTCAAAATGTTAGTGCTGCTACAAGATTGGGATGTCCCCGCCTTCGATCTCACTCTAATTGAGGAAGTAGTAGTACACAAATTTTGTTATTTGAGGTGCTATATCTCACCTGGCGGACGCGTCATAGATGACGTATCGACAGGCGTACGGTAGGCTCTTTCGGCACTTTCCAACTGCAAACATTTTGGCCGTCGTGGCGCCATGCGGCCGTCTGTGAAGCGTTGAGTGTATGCTGCATTGGTGTGTCTGTTGTTGCTACACGCGGCAGAGACTTGACCATTATGGGAACAGGTTAAAAGTTAATTCTCGAGGTGCGAACACGACTGTCTACGCAGTATTGCACGAATCTGGTGGGGGAAACAGACGAGCAATGCTGACGTTAGGCGCAGAGGTTTAGGTAATCGTGGTCGTCCCGTGGAACAAGTGGTCGACATCTATTGCGCATGTCACCAAATAGGTCAAGGCTGGTGAAACTAAAACCTGGCATGAATGTATGAAAACTCTAACCAGGACACTGGGTTACATAGGAGCCGTCAGACTCCCTGGATTTGGACCCCGACATCATGGTAACCGTTGGATCGAGATCTTGAGTGATATGGCTGAATGTTGCAAACAGTGCCACTGGAGCATCTACTCATTTTCTTACGAGGGAAATCTTTTTAAATTGTCCATTTTTACTTCGAATTTGCTCTCAACATTCTAAGCTTCATTCCGCTCTTTTATCTGAATGATCGTCCGAAAGACAGCTATAAAAATCAACAGTTCATACCCACTCAAAGACTTGGTGTCGGTAATGCTTTCTTAAGTCTTTTTCGCGTCAAACACATTTGATGTTACGCACCCGTGTGTCTGTCATGTGAGTCTGTCTCAGAAGAAAATGTTTTCAATTTATCTCCTCTCCCTGTAATGGCCAACCACGATTAAGCAGGCAATAATAAACTGCGGTGCGTAGTACTTGATCCGTTTGAATAGTTAATAGGAGAATAAATGGTTCAAAAATGCTCGTTGTACCGTGTTCATTCAGCATGTTGTTCCAAAGGTAGTTTTTGTTCTGACGATCATTCTTTTTCTCCTCACCTATTATTGAATACATAATGATACGTTTTTCAGGAAGTGGAGGGGGGGGGCAAGCGGCCAATAAAAGAGCTTCCAAATAATACATAATGAATAAACTAAAGCGGTGGTGGTCTGATTCGAATATCCGTCCTTCAGGGTGATAATGTGGTGACGTCCCCACCGGGCCACTACCACCATTGGATTTCCAGTTAGCACTCTATTTTACAGACAGTGAAATTCATAAAACGTGAGATGCGGAACCTTCTCCTTGGATTCTTTCTCGGTTGGTCCTTAGAAACTGAGAATGTTCTCCCTTGTTGACGTTATAGAGGAACGAGATGGACAGGATGGATAGTTTTGGTCCTCGATTCACCCACACTCGTGTGCATTTGCGAATAACTACATGCAACGTTCCCTTCCTGTATTAGACTATTAACTCAATTTATCGAAAAGGTTAAAAAACGGCACGGTGCTTCCCGGCTTTTGTTTTCACGTTTCTGTTACTTTACTTACGTCCTAAAGTGTTTCGAGAACTATGTCATTGTCTCAAATTTCATTTGATGCCTTCCGTGTACCGTTTTGCGTACGGGGTTTACTGGGCCAGACTAGGACGGTTTTGATAGTTATTTGAAGCATGCGTACATCAAACCAATGCGACGACTTTGCAATTCGTTTTCAATGGTAATAAAAAAACTCATGTACTAGGCGAAGTTATTGATCATAACAACAATAATAGACCTATACCGGTAATTTTATTCAAAATGTTGTGTTCGGGGTTAACCCTTCCATTTGTAAGGGTATCGGGCCCTCTAAGATTTTCTTTGTGGCTTCCGCTCCTTTTGAGTTCGTGAGTAAGTGAAATATAGTTTACTTGCGATGACAATTTGTATGATGAGCAGTGGACAGTGGTTTCATCCTGATCGAGAGTCGCCAACAGCCCGTACTTTTTTGCCCCTACCGGTCATCACAACATTCACTTGAGCAGTTGGATTTCCAGAAATCTGCTTACCGAGACCATTTTCTCGTTGCTTTTAAACACTAAGGGAAGGGAAATGTCAGGCGGTGTTGGTGTATGTTGAACTCACTCTGGATGGATTTCATGGTGACCTTAACCGATTAACTGTCACTATCCCAAGGATAGGATTAACCGGGGAGGAACTTCAGAGTCATGCATTTGCCATGTTTTTGCGTACTACGTCGTCTGGGTGAGATCGTCAACATATACCGAAACATTTCATTTTATCTGCCGAATGAGTAAAGATCACAGTGGTGGGTATAGCCTAGAAGGTCATCTGAATGAGCATTCATTATACAGAGGCGTGGATGATGTGCATTTGTAAGTTAGAATTGCAGAGTGGTTCGTGATCTTTTCATTAATGGGTTCCGGGTGAATCATTTTCCATCTACATCTGATTGTTTAATCTGAATGATTCTTTTCGAGCTGTTCTCGTGCCGTGTTTCACCCCAGTGGTATTTCTTTGGATTTAATTTAGTATAGATAGAGCAGGTGAATTTATTGACATGGTTTTGTCGTTCTGAAGAAACCACTCAGTGTTCATGTCAATAAATATGATAATTATTCTGCAAATATATTGGGGACTACGGGACGGCAGTTTGATGGCGTTTGTTTCTATGATTTTATGCCTGAGTTCGTGCTTGATGAGCTCCTCTTTGACTCACGTGGCTTTACTTTCTCCCTTGAAAAAAGAGAAGCTCTACTTCCATTAGCTTCGTATCATCTTGTGCATTCAAAATCTCTGCGTTACTTTCTGTCAGATTTAGTTGGTGAGTTATTACCTTTTGAGTTTGTTCGCTCCTGTATTACACGTGTTTCTTTTTCTTGAGCGTCATCTTCACGGCTGTCTAACCGCGTATTCGATGCACTCTGTGCGGTAATCTGTGTCTTGCAGTTCAATTTGGCGTAATTTGTCCAATCAATAATCTTCCACTTCCATATACCGGCTTTGATTGCGGTTTCTCGGTAACCAACACGGTCACCCAAAGAAGGAAAGCAATTGAGAGCGTGCGCGAAAATGTGTGACTGCAACACTGCTTATTCATAGTTATATAACATGAAAAAATTAGGTGTGTGGATCTGGGTAGAAGCACAGTCTTCTCGGTTGTCTTCACTCATCCATATCGCCCCAACGTGAAAGACTAACATATCACGTAAGAAAGTCTTCTGGTGAAGAATTTCGTCCCTATACACCAAGTTACAATGTGATCACCTTCGATCTTTAGATAATATCCTCCATAATGTTCGCTTGCTTAGGTCAATCTGTGGTCATTTTAATAGCCATCGTTCCCACTTTGTAATCTGTCTACATTCGACTGTACACATAGTACGCCCACCAATACTTGAGACCATGCTTACAACATGGTCGTGGGATACTGGAACGTCCACAAAAACTTGCCACCAAGGCGATCAAATGATTGAACTGTTTCACTTACGGTGGGAGACCATAATCACTGGGATAAGCATGTTCTGCTCAGTACCGCTGAATCGGAGGGGATTGGATTTTGGTGTAACAAGTTTGCAGAATCTATTCATGTTGTCTGCTGCCCTCGTCACCCAGCATCCACCTTAGGGGACATCGTTTCAAGTTACTGATTCCAGAGCGCCGACTGTAGCACCGGTCTCAATCATGTGCAGTCGGGGTGTGTACCCCTTCCATCCTACGTCATTCGTGCGCCGCAACTGTTAAAGCTTTCAAGCGGAGACTTGATCAAACCTCGGCACACATCACATTCGTACACAACTCAAAACGCATATTAGTTGAAGATTGCATTGTGGTATCTTCTACCCGGAACTGTATGTAATGATTATCTTTGTTTTTCTAGAAACGATTCACTTGCGTAACTATCCTATAGTAACAATAGGTTCGTAAGTAATTCTCATCACAAAAGTCATCATCATCATCTTTGAGGGAGTGAGAAGAAGGTGAACCACACACAGAATGCACAGTCCAACTCTGCATGCATACCGTTTCATGCATTCTGACGTGATAAGATATTACAACAAGAACGCCACTGCTGTCGGTTCGCTGCCATATCCTTCAATGTCTCCTGACAACCAGTTGTGGAGTCTTTCGGACCCCAACCTGGAAAGCGCGTGACACCTACCCTACCTAATCGCTCTGTGCATTTCTTCATGCCTAGTTTCCACGTCATTTGTTGGCCTCCACGTGGTTTCCTCCATCCCGGAACGGCTACAGCGAATAAGGTTCAATGTGGTAGACGGGAGCTGGGCATACGCAATACATGCCCTAGCCAGCCAAGTCTACCAATCTGAATTCGATGTACTGGGAGGTTTATGCCGGACAGATTTCCAGCCACAGCATTCGGCTAGCAAGTGCCGCTTTTTTAGGGAGAGATCTGTGTTCAAAATCATAAACTATTAGGGAGACGGTTCGAACAACGACTTCGTCATCGAATCATGTACGGTTTGGACGAGGTCAAATGTCCAACTACATGATGGAGCCGGTGACGACTGCTACAACGATGTGCTGTTATGCGATTAGTATTTACCATATTTTGCTAGTCTTTGCTGGAATATAAGCACCTCAAGGTCAGTGGTAATGTCAGAAGATAGTGGGAACGTCTCGTGTATCTGTCTATAATGATTCTGTAGTGATAAATCAATACGGTAACACGCGGCATGACAAACAATAAGATAGAAATCGAAAGGAAGAGTACATTCGAAGTAATTTGACTAGCAGTCCACCAAGCAACTTCAACTTATGGTGACCAGAACAAAACAGCGCGAAAACTCAGATAGCCGACCACCAAGACAAAGACAGATTAAAGTCAACCAATAAGAAGTCAAGAAACAACGGGGGCTGTTCGAACAGAGTTCAACTGCTGTGAGCAGTCATTAGTAGCAATTGAACAATTAAACATGCTCTGAATGTCACAATTTGGGTGTTATCTCCACACCTCACCCCGGTTAATTTGGAGTCAGGGTTTCTAGCCACCTCCGCTGGGAAAAATTCCCATAGTTCACCTACCCGATTTTAACTGTGGTTTTGGCTTTGCGTCATCTCACTTTGGCAGTAACCAAAACTTCTTCCGTATAGGCTACTTGAGATACTTTGATGTATTCGAGCACCTGGTTTGCCTTGAGATCCTGTTATAGATCGAATAATTTGGTGACTTGTCGTAAACAATGGCACCTGTGCATCTGTTCAGTCTGATATACTAGTTAAATTGGTTGCATTCTATATTTTTGTCTTGATATTGCTGTCGGCCGCTTCCGACTTCTCGCATCCAAATGGGCAGCCATAAAAAAAACCACTAAGGCCTCACAAGTAGTGCAAAAATAATGGTTGTATGGACTGTAGTCGTGTGTTTTATTTGGCGTTCAAGGTTCACCGATCCGACTGTTCCCATTTACTGAGTATCCGGTTTTAAAATGTTTGATGCTTATTTTATGATGCTTCAAATTTTTGATCCTTGCAAGCCTGTGCTCGTGTAGCCTTCGTATATTTCCTTTTGCTTTAACCTTAAATTCAGTCCTCCGTTATTTGTATTTTCTGTGTTAATGACTTTCGTTTCACATTTCTGACACAGGAGGTTTCCGTCGAGAACCGGATGCGCGTAATCGATCGCGTTCTCCACCACCTTATTACTACCAAGAATCTCCCCGGGTATCCTCTCGTCCATCAGTGGATACAGACCGCTGGCAGCACGACAAATTTGAAGAGCTAATGCATGAGGATCGGGGCACACATTCACGGCCCAGTATGGATGAGAATGACGGGGTTCGTCATCAGCCTACCGGATCCGTGGGAGGCAAACCGTTACCTAAACCCGTTCCTGCTCCCAAACCTATCCTGTGGTCCACCATCGGAAATGATATGACTAATGGTCAAGCCAACACTATCGGGTCTAACAAGCATGATTATACTCCACAGAGTTCCAGTGGTCGTTCTCCGATTCCACCGGATCCCGAAGATGAGACCGGATTGAAGTCTACCCGGACGAACGACAACAGTCCGCAGTCAGACGTCGGAGAACAGTCGATGACGCCACACGATGCAAACATTTCCG